TTACCTACGGAAAAGTAAATTAGTATTGTCTGCTATAGTCTCTCTCTCTCTCTCTCTCTCTCTCTCTCTCTCTCTCTCTCCTATCTCTATTGCTTCTTCTCTCTCTGCTAGTGCTTCTAGTCTGTGTGTGTGTTAATGCTCTTAGTCTCTTTCTGCACTAATGCTTCTAGTCTCTCTCTGCTAATGCTTTTAGTATATCTCTCTCACTCTCTCTCTTGAAAGTTACACATTACAGAGAAGGTTTGCTCTTGCCTTCTCTCTCTGCGCTAATGTTTAGTCCCTCTCTCTCGCTGGGTGCTAATGTTTAGTCCCTCTCTCTCTGCACTAACGCTTCTAGTTTCTCTCTTTGCTAATGCTTTTAGTATCTCTCTGCTAATGCTTTTGGTATCTCTGTCTCACTCTCTCTCTCTCTCTTAAAGGTTACAAATTACAAAAAAAAGAAGTGAAACTGTGTTATTTTCAGGGGAACTACACCTTCACAGTTGGGTATCATGAATTATTAGGGAAGAAAGTGATTTTGAAGAAGCCATTGTTGGTATTAAGAAAGGGTTCCATCAATGAAGATGCTTCTCCAAATTCACAGCCTACCTTGGATATAATTGGAATAATCCGCCATCGAATTCTTTTCAAGACTCGTCCCAAAGCTTTAATTTCTAGTAAGCACCTACTGTATTTTCTATATAGAGAGAGATATTGCACCTTGTCTAATGGAAATAAGTGTGAGGCCCTAAATAATCAAATTAAGGGGTACCTAAAAAATTTGCTGGAAGAGGTTGTTTAGATTCTCAAAAGTTCTCAAATCAATCATCTCGACCTTATGATACATGTGCATGATAAAAAAAACGGATTTCAAGTCTTGAAAATATTGCACTTTTAATGCATTTTCTGGACCCTTTGTTTTTAAGATTTGCAAGCGATTATAGGTATGCTCAATCTACACTATTTTGAAAGCTTTAAATTTTATAATTAGAGATGAAAATAAGTTTTCAGGCTATCAAAAATATTTCTAGTACTAAAACAACACCTTTCAGCACTATTTAAACACTATTTAAATGCTTGCCTTACTTAGATTGTTTAGGGCCTCAACCTTATACAGACCACACAATTTTCTAATTAATAACATTTGCCTATAACATTAATGGTTAGTCTTGATTTGTTTTTTTATTCATGCAGAGCCTGTCACAAAGGGAGCAAGTTGATTCTCCAAATTTGCCTCCCAATTGATCAAGAATGGTTAGGCTTCCCAATTTTATTTTCTTTTTAAACTTTTAATTCGTGAATATTACGAAAGAGGCTTGTCTATTTTCTCATATTCAGCATAATATTTTTTGCTTGTATTAAAAAATTGCATTATATCCTATACAAATCATACTTTTCTATTGCTTGTTTTAGATGATATTACTTTTGTAGCTCAAATTAAAAGAAGGGAAATTAATTAAGGGAGGTTTTATCAAAACACATTTAACTTATCAGCTATTTAATATTTTACCTATTTTCAACTATTCTGACTCACGGTATTTTGAATTTAGATGACATGATATGAGTCAACTAATAAATACTTCATCTCTTAGTTGTATTTTGAAATTTTCCTTAAAACAAGTGACATTATAGGTAGCAATGTCAATAAGACTTGACTAGACAGCGTAGTTGAATCGTTTGATATTATGCGCTTGTAAGAGTATACTGTCCATTTACTCACTCGCGCAAAACCCAATCCAATAACTAGGATTAACTTTAGGTAACTAGGATTAACTTTAGGAACTCAAGAAAAGAGTCTGGGCTTAATTGGTTAGCGTTTGACGATTTGCAACGCTACGTCCTAGGCTCAATTCTTATTAAGGGCAGCAGCTCTCTTCCAGTTGACTCACCCCCTCTTTCCACTTAACCCCCAAAAAAAAAAAAAAAAAGAAGAAAAAAAAAAGGGATCTCAAGTTTTGGGATGTAAGACTAATCTCAATAGAAAAGTCTCCAAATTACACTCTCTTTAGGCTTGAAAACAATAATGTGTTAAGATAGACAGAGGACGCCCAATTATTTGAGGGTGAGATCTAAGTATTGGAAACTTCAAAATTTAAATTTTTTTTTTCTCAAAAATTTCATACTTAAAAATTTATCCAAATGAATTTTTTACCATCGGAGTAGATGTAGACTATGCTCCCTAGGACGCGTAGTATATATGCTTTTTAGGTAAATTAGTTAAGATGTGAACTGGTCAATTTGTTTCAATTGGTGGCCTCAACTAGTTGGATTGGTTGAACCTTTTTTGACTGATTCATACTTGTTCTTGACCATTTTCTTATGTTTTTAATGTATGTTTTTCTTTACGGTTCTTACCAATTTCATTGAATTGATGCCCTGGTTTTATTCCCAATAGGGGTAGCCGTTGGTCGCGTTCGGCCGTGTTTGGACTTGAAAAAAATGATATGGGACGTGAACTTGGATGTGGATATGAAAATATATTGAGGGTCTTGAATCCAGATTGGACTCGACCCAAAATTTATATATATCTATGTATTTAATAATAATAAATATATATTATTTATTGGGACCCAAAACATATTATTGGACCTAGACTTGACTTGCTGAGTCCAATTTTTAAATCCATACCAAGACTTGGATCGGGTCTATCCCTCAGGCTCTTGTTCGGGCTTGGGTCCATTGCTACCCTTAATTACCAATTCGAAACTCCATAGTTTATACTAGAAACAAAGTACTCCAACTGAAGCTTTGATTGAGAAAGCTTCCATGATGGACTTTATTAATGGTGCTTGCCTTTGGTTTGTAGGGCTGCAAATAGGTGGGTTGAGTTGGTTTGGGTTTGGGTCTAGGGGTGGCAACGGTAAGGTTTGGGTTGAGCTATTTAGGTCCAAAATTTGGACCCATACCCGGATCTGTCACATCTCGGGTCTAGTTGGTTCTTTTGCCATTATGATTATGAGTTTTTTTTGGCTCTTTTTTTAACTGTCATATAACCTGAGTATCAGCTTCATTTTTTTTTGCTAAAAATATTGTCAATGTTGCCAATATTGTGACAATCTGAACATCTAAAGTGTGCCTAAAGGTATATGATTGCCATTATATACTCTATGTGGACGAAAGACTAATACGATCATGTTGGGGAATATTTTTTTTTTTTCATCCTTTTCTTTTCTTTTTGGCAAAGATCACTTATAAGTAGTTTTATTACAATAATTCTTGCTTCAAAAAAAATAAAACTAGCAAATCCAACATCTATATTCTCAACATTCTTATGCATATATCATGAGGTAGCATATCAAGTCTTATGTAATATGTAATTTAATATCCGTTGGTTTCACAATATGCAAAAATCTTCATTAATTACAAAGGTTCAACCACATTATACATCTTGGTAGTAAATTCATACAAACCAAATTATCTAATCAACACAACATGTGTCAAGGAAGCCTAGCATGGTAATATTCTTACAACATTCCCTATGGTTTAAAGTCTTAGGTAATCAAATATTTTAAATAACTAAAACTATAAGTTAATGCATATAGGTATTTAAAAAAAATAGTGCATGATAGTTTTTCTCCCATTTTGATAAATATCTTTAAGACACAATGTTTTTTTTTTCAATTAAAAAAAATTGACTTGGTATATATATATATATATGCATTCACAAGCAATAGTTATATAATAATATGACAGTTTAAAATGATTTTCATAGACTTAATGGACTTTGCAAATGAGGTTTTCTCAAAAGTATATTCATAGATTTTGGTTTTTTTTCAAATCATCCAATTCAATTTTAAAATATATGTTTAACCTTCATAAATTATTTTACTACATTCACCTTTAATTTATTACCAAGTCAAGTTTATAGTCATAAAAACAAATTATATATACCATGTTATAATTTTAACTAAAATAAAGCATGACTAAATAATATTTATTAAAGTTTTAACAAAATACTTCTTTTATGGCAATTATGGAGAATTTATCAAGAGATCATCATCACATGCAACACATCATATTACAGGCATTATTGAGAGGATGGTCACCAAGATTGAGTTCGATCAGAGCACTCTTTTGTGCTTACATATTTGAATGAGCCACACCTATCTCTCGTGTTTCATTCTTAGGGCTCAAAGCTTTTGATCAAATCACATCTCTATGTGTATCACTATTTTGCGAAGTTCATACTCAAGCACAAGGATGTACAAAAACACAAGGTATTTAAAACCAGTTTTTTCATATTTGTTAGCACTTGTTACTTAATGTTTATACATTTCATAGATATTCATAAAACAATTAGCCAAAATATAAGCAAATCATATTAAATAAAGTTATTGAATTTTCTTTTTCTATATGATTTCACCATATAGAGTGGGATAGATTTCATACTTCAAAACCATGTAATGTGGTATTTGGGCTTTCTTGATTCATTGTTTTTACGTGTTTAATAAGCTTTTGTGATTTTGGAAGTGCATTTAATTAGTGGATAATATATTGGTCATCGATTTCACATGTCACGAAGTGTTAATCTCTTCGACACTTGGATTTTCTTGTCTTACACTGTGAAAAAAATCTGATTTTCATCCTATTATTTCAAATATTACAATTTCGATTCTCTCACTGATCTTTAGCATTTTTAAATTACTACCAAATCTCTCTATATATCCCTTTATTTTGAAGAAATCAAGATGCTTCCATAGGTATTGTGTTTTTTCTTCTTTTTGATATTTCTAGATCGAATACTTTTCATATAGAGCGTCATATCTTGCCAATTTTTTATTATCTCTCTTTAAAGTTTTATTATAATAAACTATACTTATAACACACTAAAAAATGTTTTTAAATGAGCTTTAAAAAAGGTATCTATATTTAAGAATCCAAAGATGTGCTTTAACATGCCACGTCTTTTTAATTTACTGCAGAATAGAACTTGAGCATCTCAAGATAAAAATACGATATTTTTCAAATTATAAAATGTTAATCTTCGAGTCTTTTTGAGTATTGAAATAGACTTAAAAAAATATAAAATAGTGTTCAGTTCCATTTCTAAGTCATCTCATTTAGTAAGTATTCATTTTAGTGACATTTATGTCACAATGCAATTTTTTCAGTTGAAAATCAAGTTGAACATTTCTCAATAAAGAATTTATTTTTATCAATACTCAAAAAATTTCTCCTTAGAATATTGTGTTGAAAACTAGACTTAAAACCAAATCTTAACATCATAGTGGGAATCTTAAATAATACTTTTCTTTAGAGAAATAAATAAGTGATATTTACGTCACAAAATAAATGTTGTAGAATTCCAGAATGAACACTTTTAGTAAAATTGTCCTTTATCTCTACCATCATGGAGTTTTCATTTCAAACCAATTTTGTTTGAATGTAGACACATAATAATAACACATATATTTCCACAAACTTTATATCACTCTGTTAAGTAGGCTTGATAAATATTGCTATTCATGTATTCATTAAAAGACAAATACCAAATTGCAGAAAATTCTGGATAACCTCTTTTCAATTCAAAATTTTTATTCCACTCTTCTCATAGAAATTTTTCTTTCAAATAAAATTTATTAGAAATTAGACTCAAAATGGAAGTCTAAAAACTTAGTGTAAGCCATAAAAATCTCTGTTAAGATTAGAAATAAAATCTTGACTTCTAATTCATGGAAATAAATTTTTTTTTAGAAAACAGCACTTGCGTACCTTTTCATAAATCGATCATATCTTTCAAACCACAATGAATTTTTTGATAAAAATTTTTTTGTCTGAAAAGTAGACTCAATTTTATAAGTCACAATAAAATTTCAGCAGAAAATAAAATCATATAATTGGTGGGTAAATTCATGGAGCTCAATAGACATTTTCTAGATTTTGTTGGTTCAGAACTGAGACTTTTCAATGACGAGTTCATAATTTTTAATTCCTTTAGGATCTCCCACTGTAATTTTGTAGGTAGATCCTACTCTTAAAACAATATTATTGAAGTACGTAATAGAAAAATACATCATTATCTTCTTCATATCACTGCTTCAAAATAGTTCAGTATGCCTATTTTGTAGTGTGCTTTTTAATGTTTGAATATTCAATGATTCTTAACCGTGGGTGTATTACTTGATCACAAAGGTCATTAGCTTTTATATATCTCATTCCCAAGCTTGATCTAAACTCTCAATAAAGAGAAAAATATAACTAATGACATCAAGTATCAATAGTTCTGATACCAATGAAAGAAAGACTAATGCGATCTTGTTGGGGAATGTATTTTTTTAATTTTTATTTTTTTATTTTTTATTTTTTATTTTTTGGCAAAGATCACCTACAAGTAGTCTTATTACAATAATTCTTGCTTCAAAGAAAATAAAACTAACAAATTCATGATCTTAAAAACCTT